GCGCGGAATACCCTTTAAGTTATCGAGAGTATAATACCATTCAAACTTTATGCCGGCTTGAAGTTTCAAACGAGACGTTCCTCATAAGCAAATTTTAGGTAATGACACGACTGAAAATGATGCTGGGCCCTTCTCGGTGCGAAACAGTGCGACTGCGAGGATCCCGGATCTCTGAACCAATATACCGGGACAATCCACTAGACATGACTATGAGTACTTAAGAACTTGCAGTTAATTCCAAGCTACCATAAGGTTTGAATATTTTTATACCGACGTATCCAAAACGACGGGGACTTGCTTGATTTATAGTCATGATTATTACAAAGCCAGTTTTGATTTACAACGCGGCAGGAGCAGGGGGTAAGGAAGGGGAAGGGGGGTAGCGTCAGAAGTCGGAAGGACGTATTCGTTGATATTTTGAATGTAATTTACATATAGTGTAAAAAGATTTTCTGTTTCAGTTTAAGAATGTTATCTTTTTAATTTATATCCAAGTTTTGGCGAGGGAAATGTACAAGAATTATTACTATTAATTTAATTTACATACATCAAATGTATTGTTTTTCTTATAAATTTTACAAACCTTGTTATATTTACTCTTTATGATAATTTTTTGACGTCGTTTAATATAAATCGGGTAATTTCTTTTATTTAATCTGCAAATAATTAATATTTTACTATAGTTTTCCATATAAAAAGTAACTTAAAATTAGACGTTACCGAAATTACGTGACAGAGAAGTTTTCTTTACAATGAGACAAACTTGTAAAGACCAACATAACCCTTCTATATCAGACAGTGATTTATCGTGGAGATTATTGCAAAGTCCGATTTGATTTAGTGCTCGTTCAGGCCTCGGGAAATGCGTAATAAGCGAAAGTGAACCCAAGTGGAACTGTCAACTGAACAGAATAACAATTTATATCTTTATACTTTCACTATTGTAGAATTTTGAAGCCGGAGTAATATTGGTATGTATTAAGTATTTAATTGCAATCTTCAACACGATGTAATCGGACTAAGCATTTATAAACTACCAGCAAAGTGTAAATGATTCACTACGTGACGTGTAATTTTTTGAAAGAATGAAGGTTAACGAACTTATCTGGGCTTAAGGCCCCTACAGACGTTCAGTTTAAACTTATGTGTATATTGAATTATACTGTAATTTAGCGAGTTCTACTGAACAGTTCCGTTGTAGTTGAAATGGAACATGTGTAATGGGCTTTATTTTGAATTAATTTATACGTAAAAACAGCGGTCGATCTTCAGTTTAAATAAATAATCTTATTTCTATAAAACCAATTCTTTTGGTAGTTTAAAAAAAATTGTAGCAATCGGATTAGTAGTGTTTGAAGTAACAAAGGCGAGCTTTAGATAATTTTAAATTGATGTCAAAATTGTTTGTTCGCCTTTGGTCGATAGAGGGAAGTTTGTGAAGTTTTGTCCACGTTCCAAATGTTGCAGTGAAACAGTTGCTTCCGTCACAAAAACGAAGTTCCAACAACTGAGTGGGGTCAGTTGCGAGAACACTGAAGGGGGAGGGGGGAATTTATCGCTTGGACTGCAACAACTGTTGTTGTATCGACTTAAGTTCAAACTTTATGATACTATGACATTTTTTATCAATTTTATTTGTTAGACCAGTCAGAGATTTCTTTTTTTTTAATGCAAAGATGGATTGACAGCTTCCTTATTTTTATAGCCTGTAACTAAAGACGAATCCTCTAACTAGATTAAAACCTCATTGGTATTGGGAGCATTTACATGTTGTCCTTTTCGTAGAAATATTATTTTGTAATTATGACAAAAAAGAAATTAAAGTTCACTACTATTTTAAGTACGAATTATGTTTGCATAGATTTTTAAAAGTTATTTTACTAATATTATACATATATGCGATTGTTTGGATGTTTGGATGGATGTGTAGTTGTAGTAGTAGGTATCTCCAGAACGGCTGCGTGGATCGCGTTGGTGGAATATAGTTTGGAAGAACATATAGATTACTAATTAAGTTTTTTTATTTCCGCGCGATCGGAGTCGAAAGCGTTAGCTAGTGTCTCATAAAAGCCTTGAACTGAAAACCTAAAAGCATTTAGCCTTTGTACTTAGGCATACGCATAAACTGTTTGTGAATTAGAGCGTGCGAGGTCCATTAGACCACAGCGATGCGACGCGTGACGTGATCGACCCTTTACCGAGGTAGTCATGCCTGAATACTGCCCTGGAATAGATGCCCTACTTAAAGGGTTATGACGTGATAATTATATAAATATCAAAGGATGTGAATGGAAATAGTTATATGAGAATAAAGATAAAATTATATACTTCTAATGCATGTTGGTGATCAACTCCGAAATTATTGAACCAATTCGTATCAAATTTTGTAAGCATCTGTAATTTGGTCCATCTTGGGAGATAGGGTTGTTTTTAATTCAATTATTGATCTTTTTTTTTTAATTCCGCGCTGACAGATTCACGGGCGACATCTAGTCAAATATGAACAATTATAATATATTTTCTTGTGTTTATTAGAATTAATACGATTGTCTTGAACACACGAATTAACAATGAAATTGTATAGTTTAAATGCGAGTTATGTTACTAGTTGTGTTCCTGTTCCATATGTTACCGTAAAACATTCGCTTCCGTCACTAGAGTAAAGTTCTAGAAACTTGGGTCGCTTGTGTGAACTTTAGTGAATTTGTAGTTGGTGTTGTAACTAAAACTTTTTATTTATGTTCTTTGGTACATATATTATAGTTAAATTAATAAAATGTTTAATATTTATTGAGATTTTTTTTTATATTATTAATTAGAAAACTATTATCTTATCGATAGACAAAACTTCAGTGTTCATTATTTTATCATTAGTTTTTTCGTACGGAAAAAAATAGTAAGTAGCCAATGTGTTGTCCCAGACTATAATCTATGTTTGTGCCAAACTTACTCGATCCGTTTAGCCGTTTTGGAGAAATGTAGTAACATAAATCCATCCATTAATATTATATTAGCATTATACGAATTTCGTTCAGTACTTTTTCTTGGATTTTTCAAATAATAAAAGTTCAAGCACTACTCGTAACATTTTTTAAATCTTTATAAATATTGTTTATCCCGTTATAGTTATTCTTTGGATCCTGGCCATTTGTGATATTTAACATAAAAATACTGTTTATGTCAACAAATAGTAACATAGTAAGGTATTGTATTATTCATGTAGCAAGCTTTTCGTCGTAGGAATTAATTTAGTTGAGAGGAAAGTAATTCCTACAATCGATTTTAATCCAGCGAAAGGAATTTTATTTTTTATAGTATGAAAACTATAGGCTTGTCTAACATTTGCTGATATTTGTTTAATATCTAGACAGTATGGTAATAGTTAAAGGTTTTCTTTTAAGGTAAAATAAAGGTTGTTTTGACTGTCTTCGATAGTCTACAGATTTAGGTTACGGATTCGAATACTTAATATGATCCTAAGATAATGTTCCGGACTCCGTTCTTGCGGAAAAAACTTAAGTAGCTTATTTGTTATTCCAAACTATGTTCTAATGCCAAATTTTAGCGAGATCTATGCAAGCGTTCTGGAGATACCGCCAAACAAACATCCATCTATCCATGAATTCAACATTCATAATATTAGACTATCTTTAGGGTTCCGTACCTCATAGGAAACCCTTATAGGATCACTTTGTTGTCCGTCCGTCCGTCTGTCCAGATCCTTTTTTATATGGACAATGGTGTAGAATAGATGTTTAAATCTCGGTTGTCACGTAACATCTTTAATTGCTTGCTGCTAGTATCAAAATAATAAACAAAACACGATCAGGAAACATAAAACAAAACAAAATCTAATATCCAATACATTGCAAGTTTAAGAAACTGAAACAAAAGTAAGTTAGTAACACGGGATTGTACCCCCGACTTGCGAGTTGTATGATTTATTGCGCAAGATTATTGCAAAGTCCGTTTTGATTTACTGCGTGTTTCAAACAACGAAGTGCAGAGTAAGGGGCTCTGAGTTGGTGACGTCACGCTCTCTTCCTACAATCCCCAAAGATTGTTGGAATTGTGCAGATTTAGGGGAACGGAGATTCACGATGTATAAATATTGTTACTCAAAGGACGCATTTCACATTGAAACATAGTTTTGATTGATGGCAAAGATTCCAAAATTGACAGATGCTTTTGATAGAAATTTAATACCGTAAATTTTACTACTGTAAATGCGAATATTTGGATGTATGGTTGAATAGTTGGATGTTTGTAAAGGTGTCTTCATAAAGGCTGCGTGAATCGCAAGAACACATAGGCTAATTAAGTTTTATTTATTTCCGCACAGACGGAGTTGCGGATGACAGCTAGAGTTATAACATAACATATAATTGAATGGGACAGTCTGCAATTAACAGTTCAATATGCTTGTTAACTGTTCAATCTTTGTTCAAATACATACGAGTGATAACTATAGGTATGTCGTAAGTTTGAAACTAGTTCACTGCATTTGTATTTCCACCGCGGTTTCCGTGGAATACAGAAACTTTGAACAAGTATCAAGAATTGACTTCGTCGTATTCCGCTTTATAACTCACTAACTGACTTCGTATCTCGGATTTCGATCGATTTGTTAATTTAACATTTCATTAAAATAAAATAATCATGTCTCTGTCCTTGTCCCAGTTACGTATGGTCACTAGGTATTTGTCATCTATATAGATTTATCTTCCGACATCTTAGTTGTCACCTCCTTCTTAAACATGTCACCTTTTACAGTCCATCTCCTCCTTAACCTATCTCTACCGGTATACTACACTTCTAGTCACATACGATGAATAAATAAAAAAATCTCGTTTCAAATTGTAGGTAAGATTTATATACATTAAAATAACTTATACTAACTTATTCGAAAATAAAAATGATTCAACTAATTGGTAATTAACTTAACATAATAATTATAATTTTAAGTTATTTAAATTAATAGTAATTGTGAGGTAATTTTACGTAGAAACGTCGAGACTTACTCTTATAGAAAAACTACACACAATTAAAAAAAAAAACTTATTTAACTTAGCTTTTGTGAACACATGGCTTATTAACTTATATACGTTTTGTCTTTAAATTTTTTTAGAGTACGTAGGAAGGGCTTAACATTAGGAACTCCATCAGACTAAACGATGTTTTTTTAAGTTTCTTTTCGCTCTATGAAACAGGCAACGTTTCTTGCACACGGACAGTGATCATTAACAATCAAGAGACTATCGATTAGCTAAGCTTCTGATTTACTTATGAAACTAAACGCATTCAAGCAAAGCTTTTAGGTAGTTATTTAAAAACCAAGGAAATGAATTTTGTCCTTCTGTTTCTATAAATTAGCTAAGAGATGTATTATAGTTACACTTTTAAGACATGATAAAAAAAATTAATGGCTATTTTCACTTAGCGTAATCGCAGAACTCTGCCTACGTGATGTAGTCACGCTATCAATATTAGAATGAGGACACGCGACCATACAAAAGTTGAATAAAATAATGCGATTAATCGCTAAGTGGAAATAGGATTTTGGGGTTAGAAAAAGTGTATTCGCTCCGAAGCGATTCCATAACGAACTTCAAAAATGTATAGAACTGACAATAACTTTCGATAAGTCATGTGATTGTCGCGCGTCAGGTCCATACTTTTTCGAAGTTCGCTATGGAATCGCTTCGAATCGAATGTCTAAAACCTCTGATATCTTCACTGCATTCTACAGAATCAGTCTTATACATAAATCTTAATACTGTAACGGTTACAAATGAGAGCATTCAGTCTCATTCGGTTGGAAGGAAGGATAAGATAGGTCTAGGCCTCTGAGACGCGTTGATATGAACTCCTCAGCCTGTAGCTCCATTTCCGCATCGAAGTGTGTTCGCCAACCGCCTGCTTCTCCTGAAAATTAACAAGCAATATTTTATCTAAGAGAAGACACGTAATAGACTTAAGTGTGCGAATAATAAGAATTAATTGACGCCTAAACAATACTATTACTCAAACGGAATGTCTTAAATTTCTTGCCGATTAAATACATCAATCATACATACGATCTTACAAATATTATTAATACCAATGTTTAGATGGATGTATGGATGTTTGTTTATAGGTATATCCGAAAGGCTTAACGTATCTCGTTAAAATTTGCCATAGATGTAGAACATACTTTGGAGAACACATCGACTATTTAAGTTTGTTTTTATGTCTGCACGGGCGACATTTAGTTACAGTTTAATTATCACAAATATAGATCACATTGAATATGCGTTTGAGCTATATTTAGCAAAAGTTTTTAGATAAGGTTGCGGGAATACCCTTTTTTAATCATTGATACGTGATAAGATTATGTCCGCGATTCCGTCCGCGCAGTATGTAAAAAAAAACATAATTAGAAGCCTATGCGTTCTTTCAGACTATTTACATATGCATGCTAAATTTCATCGAGATCCGTTGAGCCGTTCTGGAGATACCTTTAAACAAACATCTATCCATATAAACATTCATGTTTATAATATTAGTATGATACGTAAGTGAATATGCTCAGTCATCAATTAGACGGGTTAAAATTTACCTTTTCTGAGAAATTGTACTTCAGTGTTGTCTCCCGCCGTGTTATTGACGTTTTTGTTTTTTCGCAGACTGTCAAAACTGAGATAATCGGCTAAAGTTTCTATTTTGTCTGCTGGATACTTTCTGTTTAGGAACTTGCAAACTGCACGAATTTCTTTAGGTAAATCCTGGAAAATAATTTAATTCAAAGATAATTTATTGCAATGAGGACATGGCTTAGTAGCATCCCCAAAATTACCAAGAAATAATAAAGAAGAGAAAAAGAGCATCGGTGGCTGAGGGGTCAAGCACTTGACTTGCAATCTGCAGGTCCTGGGTTCGAATCCCCCCATGTACCAATGTGTTTTTCTATTTCATATTTACATATGTACATTTATCCGACGTTCTTACGGCGAAGGAAAACATCGTGATGCAACCTGCACATATCTGAGAAGAAATTCAAAGATATGCGTGAAGTCAACCAATCCGCACTGGGCCAGCGTGGTTGACTATGGCCTAGTCACCCTTGATTAAGGGTAGGCTCCGAGCCCCTCGGTAGGGACTTATAGTGAGCTGATGATGATGAATAAAGAGACAGTTAACTAATGTCTAGTTGGTAATTATTACCAACTAGACATTAGTTAACTGTCTCTTATTATTATATTATATTATTTTTATTAAGTATTATACTTAAGTACCAATAATACTTTATTATTACGACTATTAATAATACTTGTCATAGATTAATGTTACAAAATCCAGTAATGAGCATTATGAATGAGGCATATTGGTAAAGAAGTGGTATTTACTAGAAATCAGACGAATAAATTTAAATATAAATAAAAAACTTTTTACGATTTACCTTAATCATATCTTCATAGAACATAAAATGGAGATTCGGATTGTGTCTCTTCTCCCAAGCTTCATTCGTATGGGCTACGATCGGTGTCCATGGCACTGGAAATATTAAAAAAAAATTAGATGCTACTAAACAAAAAGTCCATTATTCAAATTGATTCGTACATTAATTAACTTACATAGATCTCTTCTGAACGCTTCCCAGAAAGTTTGAAATGTTGCTCGCATGAGAGTTTTGGCGACCATTTTGTGAAGGTAATAATATGATACAGCGACATCTCTCGGATCTCTGGCGACGTAAATTACTTTTGCTGTGCTTAGCAACTTTGGTGGTAACAAAGACAGTGGAAGATGTGTCTTGATGAACCTAGGTGATGGTGCTTCAGCTATCGCTTTCCAACTGGGCTTCCTAACAGCATGGTTCAAGCCTTGGAAGTAAGCTAAGTTCATAAAATTTGCTTTGATTAATTCAAAAGCTACTTGTGGTATATGCGCGGTTACTCTGAAATTAAAAATATTTGTATTATTAATACTAAGTAGATAAGGAACTCTCTTATTTATTTTAAGATGTACTTACATAATTGATAAGGAACTAGATTACTTTTCGATGCCTACTAATAGTGCAGAGTTTGTCCTGCTACAAAATTACCTTCTTAAGCTATTTCTTTTTCTTTGACTTAAGTAGGATTTGACTATAATTATTTAATGACTTATTTGTCATCTTTATGTCATCAAACACTTTCAAATAAAACGAATGATCCGTCTTTAGCAAGTTTCGAATAATCTGACATACATATTTAAATTTACATACAAAACATATAACACTCACTCCAACATAGGAAATCGTTCATGAAGCGGCTTTCCTTTGGCAGCTTTGAAGTCTAAATCGTTTTCTATGAGCCAGACCATTTCCTGCGTCCACGTCGTACCTGAAAGATACGATCGCTTTGTAAATTGACGACACGCTTCATATTCAATACGGAATATAACTTTACGAATAAGATTTATATTTGAGGAAATCAAGCTTGTAATTTTGAGGGTATAGGCAGATGCAATTTGGTACTTTTGTATCAAAGCTTTTTTATTTTTACATTTGAACAGACACATAAAAGAACATGTTTGTTTTGGCTACTTTTCTGAAATTCTATTGCCATAGCAACTTTTAAAAAAGAATGTGAAGGTTGAATGTGTTACAAACATATATGTATTTAAAACTTTCATCTTACTAATATTATAAGTGTGAATATTTAGATGAATGATATTTGTTAGATGGTATCAGCAGAACAGCTCAACGGATCTCGTAGAAATTTGGCATAGATGTAGATATGGTCTACTAGGTTATTTTTTTTTCTAATACCGCGCGGGCGGAGTCGCTGGTGACATCGAGTTTGTTATAAATGTAATGGGTCTCATCGGTGGCAATTTTTTACTAATATTATAAAGCGGAAGAGTTTGTGTAAACGAGCTAATCTCAGGACGTACTGGTCCGATTAGAAAAATTCTTTGTTTGTTGGATAGTCCATTAATAGAGGAAGGCTTTAGGCTTTATCATTACGCTGCGACCAATATTTTTTTTTAAATTCCGTGCGGACGGAGTCGCGGGCGACAGCTAGTAAATAACAGTTTAACAGTGGTAGAGCCCGCTTTAACATCTTCGCACGAATCGGCACGGCTCACCCAGTGTTCTTTCTGGATGAAAGGATGCATGGAAAGGGAAGATATTTTCTTTCTGTGCATCCTCTCCTGCGTCGATTAAAGGTAGTCAACGCATATGCAATTGCGTATGTCTATGGGAAACGGTCACTTCGCTATTTCAGCGACTTCAAGTGGTCGCTCGCTCGTTTGCCACCTTTTGATATAGAAAAAAAATACGATGAAAAAGATGTGATTATGAATGTATAACAACTTTTATTTTATGTAAAAAATGAATCATTTCGTACAAAGTCAAAGTAGGGTGTGGCGAAATGAAAGTAGGTGAAGATAAACAAATTATATTTTACAATTATAAATGCACTTTAAATGCACGCAATGAACGAATCATAGCCGGATTAACTGGGACATTCAAAATATTTTAATGACATTGATTCGATAAATTCTTTATATCATTGATAAGAATTTTTGTGTTATCATAATGATAATATCTTGCAAATATTATTATCAATATTCTTTAATCCATGAAAGGTATGCGATGCGATACGAACTTTGAATTTATTTAATTACAAATATCGCATTTCTGTTATTTTGTGGTTAATTTACGCATTCATCAAGTTACAAACAGTTTTGTATACAAGAGATTTATTTACACCTTTTGCTCGCGACTCCGTCAACGTGGATATAAAAAACACAATAAGTGTATGTGTCCCTCCATTACATAGAGATCCGTTTATCTGTTTTGGAAATACCGTCTAATAAACAACCATCCATCTAAACATTCGCATTTATAATGTTAGTAACATTTATATTTTTCTTTTATTTAATCTGTGTAGAATATAAAAGTGACCATGCACGACAATTCCTATCCAGCTATTCCATTATTTAATATATTAAAATAAAATACTTATTATTAAAATTGTAAGTATAGGTTTTCCCTAATTCCCGAGTAGTCTTTACATTAGTAAAATCTAATTGAAAACCAGTAGTGCCAACATTCATAGTACATATTAATGAATCATAATAACGACTTAACAATTGTCAATCATGAAGTGGTCATTGATGACTAATTATAGAATGTATCATATTATGGAAAATACATTGATTTACAAGATTAGTCATTAGTGAAGTGATGAGTCACATTTATCAGAAATGTTGGGAAAGCAATAAGAACTTTAAAATAAAGAACTATGTTCATGTCACCGATAAATCGTGAATGCTGTCCGTATTTGATTTGTCAACACTTATTCTATTCATCATCAGCTCTCTATACGTCGCTACTCAGGGGCTCGGAGTCTACTCTAATAAGGGTGATTAGGTCATAGTTAACCACGCTGGCTCAGTGCGGGTTGACTTCACACATATCTTTGAATTTCTTCTCAAATATGTGCAGGTTGCATCACCATGTTTGCCTTCACCGTAAGAACGTTGGTTAAATATACATCATCATCATCAGCTCACTATACGTCCCCACCGAGGGGCTCGGAGCTTACCCTGAGTTAAGGGTGTTTAGGCCATAGTCAACCACGCAGGCCCAGTGCGGGTTTGTTGACTTGACACATATCTTTGAATTTCTTCTCAGATATATGCAAGTTACATCACGATGTTTTCCTTCACCGTAAGAACGTCGGATAAATGTACATATGTAAATCGGAAATCGAAAAACACATTTGTACATGGCGGGATTCGAACCAAGGACCTGCAGATTGCAAGTCAAGTGCTTAACCCTTGAGCCACCGACGATCTACATACATATATCGTTGTCATAAATAAGTTTTATGACAATTATGTCATATTCAATTTATACCAACAATATTTGTTTATCTATATTTGATAATATAGTTCGATTGTACTAAAAATCACTAAGATTATGCAAATTATTATAAGTTATTGCCAGTCGTAAATTCTAAAAGCATTATATTAAATTAAACATCACAATCTTTACAACTTGAACCTCGTCAGTCTCTTTGCCTTACTCTATATTCTGTTTTTCTCTTTTTTGTAATTTCCTATAACTATATATAGTGAAACAAGGATATCTGGGCCATTGAGAGAGGCGCTGTTATTGCGGTTAGTTCTGTCAGAAAATATGTGACATTGGCATAGCAAATGGCGTAAAAAACATGACAGCTAAGAGGACCTTGTGAGACTGTGACATTGTCAGAGGGGCGCTAGTGTGCTCACATAATTTACTTTGACTTATGCCATCCGGGTCGTCCTGGTCGGTCTTTAGGTTTAACATATTGGACGCAACTAACCGCGTAAGTAGCGCCTCTTACCAGCCCAGAAAAGTTGTCGCACTGTTCAAAAAAGCTTAATAATTATGTTACATTTTGTCAAATTCCTTTATCCAGATACAACGTTTTTTGTTTCTAGATTTTTACTACCGTGATTGCAGTTGAATTTTGCTCCGTTTTGATAAATTTCTGGCCTACAATATTATCTGATAGTTGCTATCAGCATTAGATTTCATCGACATGTATAATGAACGCGAATATTTTTCCTGTTTTTCGGCAATAATTATTAAATTAAATAGATGTAACTTGTGTTCAGCTCGATGTCCTGATTAGGGGCACGGAACCTACCGTAAATTGTGACTAAGCCTTAATCAACCACTCTGGCTCATGTGGATATATCATTTGAATTTTTCTTTGTTTTGGAACAAGCATGGCTCTATATTTAAAAAGTTTGTTCAAAACTCTTGAATTCTCTCATGTACATGATCACAAAATTCGCTCATTTTATCTTAATAAAGAATCGAAGTATTCTGTAAAGACGAATACATTTGTTTTAAAACTTTATCAAATATTTTATCGTTCGTTCAAATATCACAAACTCCGAAATGAGTATAGTTAATCTTTGAACATCGTACACGCACTCGTGGAATATTTTCTTTTTTATCGTGTTAACGTAGTATTATTTGAAACCGAATCTTCATCTCATAGACTGATCACACTACATAAAAGTCAATCAAAATTTTAGAAAAAACACGGAATCTAAGTTTGGTATAAAATTTTCAAGGTTAAACCGTGTATGAGAGTGGAAATAAGATTTAAAAGCCTAATTTTGAACCAAAAATGTATGAAAAATTACGTAGAGTCGCCTTGTAAACATTTAGTTGCAGTAATTAATGGAAGTTACATGGTTTTATGTACAGAGTTCGATTTACTTTAATTTAGCAGTCAGAAGTACGCTAAGTAAGTCAGGCTAGTTGACGGCAATTAATATGTTAACTGAATTAAAACTCGAAAAAAAAGAATATCGAATAAACTTCTATTTACACTGTATTTTAACAGTAAAAACAAAAACGAGTGCTGTACTCATGTACAAGCAAACACTCTATACGTTATCTGAGGCGTGTGATATGGTTCGCTATAGATTAATCCGTGTATTTTTTGCTTTATCATTACTGCTTGTTGCAATAGGTACCTGGCAACTTTGTGCCAGAACTATTTAGATCACAACCAATATGGCCACCACGATTCAGACAAAGTTTTTTTTATATCATAAGGTGGCAAACGAGCGAGCGGCCACCTGAAATTGCTGAAATAGCGAATTGACCGTTGCCCATAGACATACGCAATTGAATATACGTTGCCTACCTTTAATCCACGGAGGAAAGGATGCACAGAGAGAAAATATTTTCCCCTTCCATGCATCCTCTCATCCGGAAAGTCCACTTCCACTTCCCATCCTTTCCTTATGCGGAAAAGGGTGGGGAGGGAAAGAGGACTAAATTGTTCCTCCGTGACGCACACTCATCCAATGAAACGCGGAATAGCTTCTACTTCACGCCTGTCTTCTGTGTGGTCGTGGTATTTCACTGGGCGAGCCGGGCCAATTCGGTGAAGATGTTAAAGCGGGCTCTACCACTGTTAAAGTGCGTTCAAAAATGTATAGAACTGCCATTAACTTTAGAAAAGTCACGTGATTGTCGCGCGTCAGTTTCATACAATTTTGAAATTCGCTATGGAATCGCTTCGTAGCGAATGAACTTTGTCTAAATCTCTAGATGTCGCTATCAGTAAAGAGACTACCAATAGATGTCTGCTTTCTGTTCAAACATTGCACATACGTTGCTAAAGTTTAACGTACATGATTAGGGCATTTTTATCCCGCGGGATTGATTCCCTAGTTTATTCTCTACTTAAGGGTGGTAAGTTTTAAAGGAATGTATCTACGCTCTGTGTGATAAAGTTGTTAAAACTCACCTGATCTCGGGAAAGTGATAACCCATACGTCATCAGGCCTCACTTCAAGGTTGTAGATTTCCTCTGCGTGTTTTCTAAACGAGGCCGCCATCACGTATTCGTTCTTACCGCATTTTACAAATGGTTTCGTGTATCCTGTGAATCGAAAATAGAAATATTTGTTTGCTTCGATCAGACGAATAATTGATGATAATATTTACGATATGCCAGTAATATTTATGCATAAAAAAAAAACAAAAAAAAATGTATATAATATTTTTTTAAAAACAGTTCTTTTTCTTATTTTAAGCATATTTCTTTTGGAATATTTCTGAATTTATACGTAAATTTTATATGACTTTACATACGGAAGTATTCTTTTATACAATCTGTTTTAATATTATAAAACGGGTTAGTTTGTCTGTTTGTTTAAACGCGCTAATCTCAGGAACTACTGGTCCGATTTGAAAAATTCTTTTTTTGTTGGATAGTCCATTTATAGAGGAAAGCTTTAGGATATATAACATTACGCTGCTATCAATAGTTTTTTTTATATTCCGCGCAGATGGAGTCGCGTGCGCCAGCTAGTATTAGATAAGTAGATCGTATGTTTATTAGTAATTATCAATTTATTGCAACTATGAAATGATTCACATTACAAGTTCGCCTGCACTCAAAATGTTACGTCAAACTTTGTTAATCGTTATTTAATTGAGGCTATCAATTCGTATCGAGCTCGGTATTGACCGATATGTTGAGAACTGCCGATCTTCCGCATTTATTATACTAGCTTTATACCGCGACTATGCTCGGATTTTTTTTAATCAATGTAGAAATCTATACGAATTTTAATACTTATGTTTATTTATTTATTAAAAGGATCAGAATAGGCTTATTAAAGATATTTAAATTTTAATTATAAACTTAATGTGATAGCAGTATAGTTTTTTTTTTATAATAGAAGGGGGCAAACGAGCGGCAACATCGAGGAGATCAACGACACCCATGGACATCCGCAACACTAGAGGAACTGTAGATGCGTTACCGGCCTTTAAGTAAATAAGAATGTGTTTAGGGTTATTATTGGCCTATGTTTTAGCATAGTTTCCTGTGCCGTAGTCTTGTAGACACGACTAAAGATGCTATAGTAATACGCTGCAACTTTTAATATTCGAAAAATATAATAACAATCGTATGGAATTTACGTCGTCGTCTATTTTATCGGTTGCACCTTCTCAGGTATTTTGATAAGGGTTGATAATGTTGATTTCGTCCAAGGCCGGCGTGAGATCTTCTATATCTTTGTTCATATCTTTACGATTATGCATTACTTTATTACTCAAACGCTCCATTGATAAGTGAATTTGTTATTGATAGCGGGCTTTTATGATTCGCATGTTCACAATTAGTTTTATATGTTTGTCGAATTGTTACAAAATCATACTTCAATCTATCATATGATAATATTATTTATTATGCGCATGTTTAGATGGATGGATGTTTTTTAAAGGTATCACGGGGATGGCTTAACGGAAATTTTGCACAGATGTAGAACATAGCCTGGCAGAACACAAAGGCATTAAGTTTTTTTTTTATTCCGCGCAAACGAAGTCGCGGGTGACAGCTAGTGGAGACATAAAAATTAAAAAGAGGTCATATAGAAGTTTGTACACGCTGAGAATTAAAGAATAGTGCTTTTTATAGTATTAATTTTTTTAATTCAGAACGGACTAGAACTTAGAAAATATTTACAATTAAGATAGAAGTTAGTAATTTAATAGACAAAGAGGGAAACTAAAACCTTTACTAAATTAATTCTAATTTCACTTCGCTTTTTTTCCGCACCTAAAATGCGATTTTTTACGTCATAATTAAATTAATTTTCTTACGTGTATAATATTTACGATTTACACGTAATTAAAATTAATTTGATAATTAACACATGTTAAACTTTTTTTAGACAAGACAAGACAAGGTGGCACAAGATCGGTCATAGTGGCGATCTTTGGAGGAATCCTATGCCCAGCAGTGGGCGACTCATGGCTGACAAGAAGAAACGTCTTTTACTGATTACATGATAAATCATGTAATTAGTCCAAATTAATAACCTTTTAATGAGCTATATTTTGACAATTAATTTCCGTGAAATTTCCACATTTTTTTCCGTTAAGCGACGATTTAAAAATGGAAATAATTTGTATGTTATTAATTAGGATATTTAATTGTATTTGGCAATTTTAGTCTTAATTATTGTATTGACGTTATGAATTTCATCCATACAAAGTTTTATTATATAAAGTTTATTATTATTTCATGTAAATATATGTAAAAATTACTAACTTTCTAACACTATTTACATTTTGGACTTTGTTCCAAATTTTATCAAGTATATTTCTTTATCAAACATTTTTTTATATATAGGATTAGTAATCGAACGTTGAGAGTTAAGTGGTTACATACCTAAAGATTAATCTGAAGTTATATACGGACTGAGAAAATTTTATTTACTTAAAATTTACAAGTCGCCTACTTCATAAAATCTAACGTAATCCTATAATAAAACCGCTGGAATTAAACATATCTCGGGGTAAAAATTCGAAGTCATCATGATTTTAATAAATAAAAAAACACCCCACAATAGTATAAACGCCTTTATGAATGTCGTTGAAATTTGGCATAGATGTATAACACAATCTGGAAGAACACATAGGGTACTAACTAAGATTTTTTAATACCGGACGAAGTCGTGGGCGACAGCTAGTATAGTATACTGAGCGAACTTTGTTAGCTTATAATTGTACTAGGGATATTATAAACTGTCCGCAAATTGTGAAATGTGATTTTTTGTGTAAATATTCGCATTTAAACGTAAATATTCGTACAGTATCTCACATAGTAGCAAAAGATAGTGAAAATGCACAAATTATATTTATCTTTGTGGGACAACGATAATGTTTATAATCTTTAAAATTATCTATGCATTTTAAATTGTGTTTTTAAAAGAAAAAAAAATAATGTCATTATCTACATATAATGCAAAAATTTATAATAATTTTATACGACTAGTGTTTATTATAATTAACATTTATATTATAATTTTAACGTATAGTCAAACAAATATATTTGACCCGGTGATAGAGACATTGCCATCTGTTAAAAAATGTAAACAATCCACGTAGACACAGAAAAAACCGTAAAAGAAAAACACTACAAAACGGCTATAGTAAACCAAAGATCTTGTGGCACTTTTTTGACATTTAAAACGTGGCGCTAGTGAGCTGTCAAAATTTAATTTGACTTATGCCCACCGGGTCAGATAATGTTGTCAGCCTATATGTCTAATTTTGGCTGTGAACTGTGGGTTTCGATCGACGCGAACGTGACTTGCTTTAATATATGCCGTCTCTTTTTTATCAAAGTATACGTGAGGGATAGCAATATGTGCCAAAATGTGTTAGCAAAACTGTGCTACTCAAAAACCTATAGGTTCTCTAGAAAATATGCACTTACTTGTGGTAAAAACTAAAAGTCATCGTTTAGATTTTTTAAATTTGATAAAAGTTAATTAATAAAATAAATATTATTAGATTTGGAATTTATTTGTTCATCATGATATATTAAAAAAATATATTTAAATCGATTACTTTATTGAAGACTTGTCGCACATGATTTCGTCTGCGTGGAATTAAAAAAGCGTTAGTACGGTACAGTACTCTATGCGTCATTCCAGACTGTTTAGCCATTATAGAGTTACGTTGCAACATCCATCCATCCAAACATTACTAAGAATTAGTAAGACACGAGGTAGATTTAATTATTTTCGTCCAACTACGACATGTCTTAAAGAATAATGTGAATATACACTAAACTAACGCATACTATCTTTCGACTATTACACTAGTTTACCTTTGGTGCGACTGTTGTCAAGCGCTAATACTTTTATCATTAGCGTACTATTACTTCTCTCGATGATTTGCATAAAATTCGTTTCAAAACATACCTCATATTAGCATTTATTAAAAATTAAAACACAAAATACAACACTGAAGCACTCATCACACTGAACGCACCGATTAGACATTTCTTGATAATTTTGTCTTCTTCAGGTGTCACGTTCCTGATCTCGTAAGGCAGGTCTATCCAGGGCGCCATCCTTGTCTAGTACACATTAACAGGAACAATGTGACACTGTATCACTCGCACGATATCCAACCTTTTTCAATAATGCATAATCTAATCATATTTTATCGATCTAATATAATTGATAACATTTTAGTGTGTAAAATAAAGCGCGCGAAATTCTGAATTGCAAATCTTAAATGAATTTGTTTCTTTTTTACATTTTAAAGTTAAAGACACGTGTATTTCCTTTAGTGTTCTATCACTTTTGAATAATACTTGTTCGTAATCAGTTGGTTAATAGAAATTGTTCTAATTTTATTGAATGATAATTGATTTACAAATTAACAACCATTAAATAATAATTGAAGAATCGACACACCTATTTGTAGTTGTTGCTACGGAATTGTTTTAACTATCAGGGTCATAGAGCAGCTGTTCTTTTTATGAATACGTCTTTACACGAAATATAACATGACGATGTATGAAGCACAAATAATAAGTCTTGTCCTCTTTTTGATCAACAATCTGGGGCCTTAGCAATGCCCCTTCCTTTTCATAGGAGAAAGCAACATAGTCTTCTCTTGATTTTATTCTCCTTGATTCATTCTTTCTTTAATATCTTCAATAGCAAATTAATAAGCAACAACATAACTACAACGGTGTTATCATGAATTTCCATTGTACATGTGTCTCATTTTAAAATTTGAACATCAACACCAGCGGTGGCGAAGCAAAAGCACCCGTGCCATTAGTCACCCAATATTTTGAGCAGGTCACAAAATTCATTTTGCAGTAGGTATAAGATCAGAGAACTTGGATTGTACCCAATACAAATAATATACATCACAAAGTTAAAATTATTCAATGGCACGTCTACGACCTCATAAAACAGTTCTCAAGAAAAATGGCACATTGACGCAATGGCACACGTCAAGGTTCGCCATCCCTTATCTACGCATTCTCTTAATACTAGGCTGTATTTAAGTATATCTGTCAAAGTAAATATAATGCTTTGTAGCAAAGTAAATGTTGACAGAACTTTATTAACCATCATAAGATATTTAATCTGAAATAGTTCCTTTTCAAAATTACATAATAAGTCATTCCAGTTTATAAGCCTCTCGACAAACTTGCGGAAAAGTGGGATCCGTGAGTTGAAACAAAATTACCTTTATCTTATTTGGATCAAACAATGAACCTTATTCCCACTAGTTAAGATATACATTAGGCGCAACTAATTGAAACAAACTTGTCGTACAATGACCTAAGTTTTGAGTGGCTTCAGGGTGGCTGGCTGGGGAGAGTGCCACTAGTTTAGTCGAGTCGGAGATCGTGAGATTGATAATTATACCATAGAAAGTGCATTGACGTAAAATGAAAAGGGTTACCGTATAGTTGACATTTATGTCCGACTGGATTTTTTTATCAATGTTATGTTACGTTTCGTTTCGTTATGTATAATACGTATGCAAACGTAAAAACATTTTCTAGATAAGATTTAGGAGCTAAAGAGCGTCGATGGTTGAGGGATTGTAACTGTAATGGATTTGTAATCTGTAGGTTTGAATCCTGCCATGTCCCAATGTGTTTTGAATAAAATATGTACCTTTAGGTATGCGACGTTCTTACGGTGAAGGAAAACATCGTGATGCAACCTGCACTGGGCCAGCGTTGTTTACGATGGCCTAGTCACCTCGGAGTTAGTCGAGACTCCGAGGCCGTCTGCGATTGGTGGTGATGATGAAGCGCTAAATTCTGGTGAACGTTCCTTTAATTGTTGCGGATACTAAATAAAATTTTAGATAAGTTGAAGTAAATTAATTCTGTTCAATTTTGTATCACTGTAAAATCTAATACCCTAAATTCCTCTCCTATTAAATATATTTCGTGATGACGTTGCAACAATGGGACTTCAGTTTCGTCGACGTGTTAATTAATTTCCTGTCACGGCGTCACCTTACTCTGAGTAAGATATTGTTCTCAGATTTCTGCAGCAATTAGTATTCCGTGAGAACAAGACTAAAGAGATTGACATTTAATAGACACGGCGCTTCATGAAACATGACAATAGCTTTATTGTCTACTAGATACGGCTTCAGACGTATAAGGATATACATATGATATTGGTCTTTTCTGTCATATCTTCCCGTATCCATCTACGAGCCAATTTTTCATGATCGTGATATCTTCTAAACTGTTTCACAGATTTATTTACTGTAATCGATTTTTATGGTAATTCTACGATAAAGGATGATAAAAAAAATCAAATTGTCATATTTAAAAATTGATATTTTAAGATCTTTTTATTTTTAAATTAGGTGATTAGGTTAATTTCATGTGATAATTTTCTATTAATTTTAATCAACTATTCACATCTGGGAATTGTAATTTTGTGCACATGAGATATTTTTTCATATATTCTTCAGCTTCCTTCTTCATCTGATCATCGAAATATTGAACCCAGCCGCCAGATTTGCCTAGAAATTAGTAACATTTAATACGTATTACTGACTCTTTTACCTTCAAGAATGGGAAAAGGATCCTATTAGAATAAAAATAATCTTAAAATTAAATTTTGAGTTATTGGCTAAATATTTTATGAAAATAAAAAATACCTTTGCGCATAAACTTTAGCTCAGAATCCTTTTTCTCGTCTTCAGATGATACAAATGGTGATTTCTTTTTCATATTATCGAACTGTAGATAATCATTTAGTTTATCTTTTTGTTCTTTTGTGTATTCTTTGCCCAGGAATGTGCAAACTCTGTCAATAACAGCTGGTAGATCCTAAAGAAAAGAAACATAGGCAAATTAAGAAGTTGCTTATTTTTAAAGTCGGTTAAGAGTAAAAATTTACAACTTTCAATTTTTAGAGAATTTCTTTCACAATTAGTGTTAATTTAGGATACCTTAAAAATCAATTAAGTTTAGTAAGTGACAAAAATAAAAACTAGTAAATTTTGACACACTTGCCGTGGGTTTCGTAACCGACATTTCTGTATATCGTCAACCGAGTGATAGTAATATTTTTTAAACGGCGATTTTGGTTTTACAAACCAACGGATAATCTTTTATAGAAAACTTTATAAACACTAATTACTTTTTTCATTTCTTCGTACAACAGGAACATCATGTTGGGATGATCACGCTGTTCCCAAGCTTCCCTCACTTGTTCCTCCAGCGGTGCGTGTAGAACTAAAATAAAAAATAAACTTTCCATTAATTTTAGTTTAAAAAAATAAAATTAAAATGTGGAAACTTCTGATAATATTAAAAATAAAATTTAAGAATGGTGTCTTGTAGTTTGTCTGCTTTATGAGATGTTAGAATATTTTCTGAAGGTGAAATTAAATAACCAAAGCTTCATGTAAATATAATATTATACTAATACGCCCAACATACACTGGGACAGCGTGGTTGACTATTGTCTAGTCATCCCTAACTTAGGGTAGGCTCCGAGGCCTTCAGTGGGGACGAATTAGCTGATGATGATATGTAAATTGGGATGGCAGTTTATAGTATATCTAAATGTAAAAAAGTGTTGCTTACTTAAGTTTTTCTGGAATAACTCCCAAAATTCTTTGAACTGGACGCTCTGGTCAAAGTAACGAAACATGATGTGCATGAAGTGATAAGAGACCACCACGTCTCGAGGATCTCTAGCTATATGAAACACTTTAGCTGTATCCAGCAGGTTTGGTGGTAGAAGTGATAATGGCGAATGCGACTTCACATATCGTGGTGAAGGTAAATTTGGTAATGTTGTATAATCATCTTCAGTAGCTCTTTGACCTTTAATATTAGAGTTTGGTGTAGATTTTCTAACTTCAGATGCTAATGTAGGATACCTGAAAAGAAATAATCATTAAATTATTTAAACTTTCGTGAGACATTATACTAAACTGATATATAAACACGGCTAAACGAGCCCATCGGGGGCCCTTCATCAGGATGAGTGGTGAAAGAAAGAAGAAAGAAAGAAAAGTTTTTATTATTATAGGTAACAGATTAAACCAAGAAACAATAACTAACATAATAAAATTGCACATAACTAAGAAATTAAATTAGACCTAAGTTACCATTTATGGTTAATTTGGATAATTTAGTGATGCCCACACTAGGCAATGCCTGTATCGTGGGCACCGATATTCAGATAGGTATATAATATTCAGTCCACAAAATTACAAAACCCACACTCACGACACTTTAGCATTTAACAATTCAGTTACTCCGGTATACATATAATAAAAACAAAATTTAAGTTAATGAAAAGAAGAAAAACTTAAGTTAAATATATAATATAAATGTGTATCGGCTATATAAATTGATAAGAGATAAATATGTTAAAGGATCTAGGATTGTATCTTCAAAAGATTCTCAGTATCATTATAATTTAAAGTTAGCAGCCACTTCAGTAAGGTAGATTTGGCTTGTGGTAGGGATTTTTCTAACAAGTCGCAGCGTTTAACTACAGAGTTATAAATATGAAATTGAATAAAGGAGCCCGTGCGTTGTGCGAAGTAGGATTTAACTGATGGCATAGGTAAAAGGTAGACTCTGCGAGACAACCTGTTTTTGTGTTCAGCGGATCCAAGTAAACTTTTATGAACCATCATCACAGTTTTGTACAAGTATAATTGCCTTACGGTAAGAGTGTCAGAATCTCTGTATAGATCTTTGGTGGGGTACCGAAAAGGTTTTCGCAGCATAACTTTTAAGACGGAACGTTGAGCTCTTTCAATTCGGATCATATTGGTAGCACTCGCAGAACCCCAGCAAGTTATGCAATATGTCAGAAGAGATTGGCACAACGCAGAGTATATGCTTTTTAAAATATCTAAACTGCTTACATCTCGTAGTTTTCTCATGATACCAATAACTCTTCGGACTCGAGAGGAAAGCGATTCAATGTGGTCTTTAAAAGTTAATTTTTCGTCTATGAGGACTCCCAAATATTTTACTACACTTGATCTACTCAGGGATTCGCAGTCGCAGGCAATGGTGTTACAAAGTGAATGATGTAATTTAATAACAGTACTTTTATCGGGTGCAGAAGCTGCTGTTTTGTGGAAGCAAACATAGTTGGTCTTTTTTACATTAAGGGTCAAGAGATTATTTTGGAGCCAGGCACTAACTCGAGACATACCTAGCTGAGAATTTCGCAGTGCTTCCTGCCAATTCAAACCATCAAATATAATTGCAGTATCGTCCGC